AAGCAGTAATGGTATATAACATGGTATATAACAGGTATATAACAGGGTATAAACTAGGTTGTTATAAACCCGCCCATTACTATTGCGAATACATTTCTACAATCCTTCATACTGCTGTCAGCATCATAGGAGGATTGGTAATCTTGCCTCAGATGAATGTATCTGGTGAAGAAAGTACCGGACATGTCGATTATGCGATCAAGAAAATACTGGATGATTTGTTCGAGGAAACAATATACATAACTGAAGGAAAGCAAAACCAGCCAGGTAAAGGTGTGGCACAAAATCTAATGCAATGTTGAAGTTCATGCGAAGTAAGTAATGCCTTTTTATGTCTAGCCTCCATTCGACTATCCTTCTATCAGAATATACTAACCAACCATCATCTGTAAACATAGATGAACTTAGATATGTTCAAGAAAAAACGTAAGGCTGAAGAGGTATTCGAGTCTGAGTATGAATATGTATATGGTATCGTTACAACAGGTGAGAAATGATTCTAATGAAGCAGTTTTTTTTGCTTTCGCATCACTAACTTGTTTCACAATTTCTTAGCTATGGACTGGTATTTCATTCTAGATAGCACCGAGGCTATCTATTGCACGAGTAAGACCGAATACCAAATCTCACTTACTGAAGATGCCCTTGATGATGATACAGACTTGTGCAAGAATGTGAAGAGAATTTTAGAGGTGATAGTGGGCTTATTAAAAGATAGGGTATCTGTCAGCAATGAACCATCATCTAAGAGGCATTGTGTGCAAGAAAAAATCAAGAAAAAATAGGAGGTATTAGTCCACCATCATTACATAGAAACTTCATGTATCACAGGCTAGGTCCCGATCTTGTATTTGTTTTTGCATTATTAATAAAAAATTTTCTTGGCAAAAACCCGTTAACAATGTTAACAGGTTGATATATATTTTTAATTATTGAAGGAAGATTATTATTATTGACAGACAACTTATTGATTATAACTTGAACTATAAATATACTACATGTTAATTGGAAAATGACATCCTAATGTTGTTTGATTCTGGATTATTTCGTAGATCAATAAAAAACATGCATATTTTATAATTGTAACAAACCCCAGATTTTTTGGGAAATTCGACCCCTAAATTCTATTACCATATTCATTTTCGTTCCACTAAGCGAACGTGGATAATATTATTTGGGAGTTCGCGTATCTCATTTTTATTTATTTTATTTATTTATTATTTTCCAAGTTATCTTTTAAATTATGATTCGTACTTTCCGGGAAGTCCTTAAGATATTAATATTAATCATTCCCGTTATTTATTTATTATCTCTATTTATAATTCTAAGACTGTAATTTATTATTTAACCATCTAATAAACCATGAAATAAAGATAACTTTTGAACTTTTTTTTAACATTTAATGTTTTAACTTCTAATTTTACGACCATAAAATTACTTGTTCGTTAATAATTTAATTAAACGCTTACAATAACTCTGGAAGTTATACATTTTAATAGAGCTCTCATTTTTTCAACAGAAAGATCTGCATAAATTAGCCAATAACAAAATTTCTAAATTTCACGTGGAATTTTCTCATTACGACATTTTAGAAATATCAAATATAGCAAAATCCCAGACCTAATGTAAATTAACTTCATATTAACTATTTTTATATAGGAGTAGTTCTATAGGTCATTTAAGATAACAAATGGGGTATTATAAAACTGGTTACATTACAATTGTAATGATAATGACTAAAATTTGATCCCTGAAATCTTTGGTTCACTTTGTCTGGTTTTGTTGCAGCATGCCCCATTTATCATATTATATTCATTGTGTAATAAAATATATAAACTTGTTATTTCAAGTTTACATCTGGTTGCAGCATTATTTTATGATAGTGGAATTTGTAGATAATGAACAGTAATGAATTATTATCAAAAAATTATTTGTAATTAACAAAATTTTTTGAAACAGAAAAATTAATACTAAATTTAGGAAATCAAACTTAAAATTCTAACTAAAATTAAAAAAATCGTTTAGTGGAAATTTATATTAATATTAGTATTAGTATTACTCATTTTTCGGAATTATTTGAATTTATATTCCTTCTATTTAATTTTACATTAATCTTTATAAGTTTAAACTAGTAATAATTATTCTTTAAAATTCAGCATATAAATTAACAAGTGGTTTATCCTTATTTAATTTTTATTTTTATAGCAATAATAAATTTTTAAATTAAAATAAAATATTTAATCTTCTCCAATAATAATAGAATAATTTATTGTGACGACTAACTATTCATGAAAAGAATAATTAAAAAAATATATTCAAGTCATGTTTTTTTTTTAATCAAAAGTAATATTGAGGCGATGCGTAAGATGCGTAAGGATAAACATGACCTTCTGGTGTTTGTATATATTGTGGAGTGGGAGGCGGAAGAATCTGTCGTGTAGCTTGTAAAGAAGAAGGATGTATTGGTTGTTGCGAGGCCATAACTTCTATTTGTATTATTATTATTATATATATAGATATAACAATAAATATTCGAATGGATAAACAAATATATTATTTAAAAGAAATTTAACCCACCACCATATGGATTGGCAAAACCCATGCTTATATGTTGTGGTGGTTGCATGTAATATGTTGGACAATTGGCAACCTATCAAAAACATAATGAATTATTATTTAAAGAATGAATTTGTTAATTGTAAAAATATATTCTTATATTATCATCGTACCATGTAAGAATGTTCAGTTGCAACCCTTTCATGAGCTTTGCGGCTTATTTCGCCTAAATGTCTGAATTGTTGTAATAAACGGCCACGATATTCGTTTGATTCCTTATATTGAACATGAACATTACGTCCAAAATACCTGGTGTTATTCTATTATTATTTTTATTTATTATTTTAAAGAGAGTAAAAAAAATAAATAATTGATTTAAATCAATCAGTAAACATTATTTTAATATATTGATTACATACTTCTCTGTCAATGGCTGATCTGGCTGAGTCTTCATTATCGTATCGAATGAAAGCAAATGTCGAATGAACTTTATAAAATTTAAAAAGTTTTATTAATCTTTATTTTTAAATATGATTGAAACCGAAAAAAATTTTTTTTTAAATATTTACGTTTGTAAATTAAATTCAATTCCTTGATTTCTCCGTAAATGTCAAATTTTTTGTAAAGCATTTCTTGCGTGACTCTGGGCACAAGTTGGCCAACGTAGATAGTTTTTTTGTCAATATCATTTGGTCCAGGAACCACTTTATCAATATTTTCAGACCATTCCACCACAAGTCTCATGTCGTTACTTAAATTGATAAATGCTCTGATTGCATCATCACGGTAACAGAATTTAACAAATGCACCGCTTCTAAGAACATTATTATTGTTGAACGATCTGAACATGTAAACATCTTCTAATTCACCACCAAAAGCACCCATAATTTCGTTCACCTCACGTTCCGACAAGTCTCTGGTAACATGTCCAATAAATAAAGTTCTGTTGACTCTTGCTTGTTCAACTCGGATATGTCTACCTTCAACGATCGTGTTGTGTGCTTCAACAAGCGCCCGTCTTGCATCATCAACATTTTCAAATTGTACAAATGAATATGGACGATTGTTACTATCTTTTAGCACCTTTACATTTAGTAACAACCCCCATTTCGAAAAATGTTGCCATACTGCTTTTTGAAGAACATCATCTGCTCTAGAAGACGACAAGCTATATATGTTGCATGATTTTTTTATTAATTTAATAATATTTTACATCAATCAGCCAATTACAAACAAATCGTTATATTTTTTTACCTTGCCACAAAAAGGCATCCCGCAGGCAATCCACGTTTGTGATGAACGGTTGCTCTTGGTTGATGATATCCAACAAAAAATTTGTTTTGAGAATAATGGTAATAATTATTGTAACTACCAAATTGAGTTGTGGTTGTAGTCCTTTGAAAGACTTCTAATTCCTTTTTAATTACATCTTCAACAACTTTTCTTTTTACAGTGGCTTCTTCCTCGCCATCATGTTCATTATTGCTAGTACCAGTAAACTCGCTACCATCAATTTCCTTCGCCTGATTATCATTATTTTCTTTAGTATCAATTAGTTGATCAATCTCTTCTCGATCAATCTGCTGTTCATCAGCCTTGGCATCAATCATTGCCGGTTCATTATTAATCATTACACCATCCTCTTCGACACTCATGGTGGTAGTAGTAATCGATTTTTTTGCATCATTGACAATTTCAAGATTGTTATAATCTTTGGTTAAAGAATCTCCAACTTCAATGTTATTAATGTCTTGATCAGCATTTTTATTTTTAACATCATCAACATTCAATTCATCAATAACCTTCGATTCATCAATAACCTTAGATTCAACATTGATCTTTAGTTTATCGCCGACTTTTGGTTCTTTATTCACAACGTTTAAAAGATTCGGCTTAATAGCATTATTAATAGTATCCTCACCCTCGTTAAAATTAGTGATGGTGGCTGTACCGATAGATTTGGCATCTTCGGCATTTTCAACTGCATTGTCGTCAATTTCTTGAATAACTTTTCCATTGGTTTTACCTTCAATTACTTGATCATAGTTATTAATTCTTTCTTCTTCCATGATTTTCAATTTAACATCGTCATTCACATCATTTGGCGCATTTTTTAATTCATTATTTGGTTCATCAACAATCGCACTGTTCAATTCCTCATTAATGTAATTTGATTTTACAACATCAATCGAATGTTGACAAGGAGCTTGCTTTTCGTCAATTTTATTGTTAAATTCTACAGCTTGTGTACCTTTTAAATATCCTCCTTGTTGTTGTTTAGATTTGGAATTATCGTTAATATGTGGTTGATTGGAAGTTATTTCTGTAAATGTAGATTGACGACAACCTTCATGTAATTTTTTAGCTTGATCATTAGATTCAAGAGAATAAAAAGATATATATTAATCAGACGCAATTCGATGAACTAATCATCAATTTATTGATATTATTAATAAACATTTACCAGTTTTATTATTACGTTTTTTATTTTTCTTGTTTTTCTTCTTTTTGCCGTTAGGATTAGTAGCAGTAGCAGATAGCAATGTGGAAGGTGACGATGTTGATACTGTAGTCTTATAATTAGTGGTTGTTTTAGTTGTCGATGAGGAAATTATTTCAGGTAAAGTCGACGAGGATAACTCAATAGTGGAGGAGGATGCAGTGAAAGATAAGCTGGAAGGAGAGGAAGCTACAGTTGTGAAATGGTTTTTTCTTTGAAGCTTTTTATTTTGATTAAGTGAAATTTGAGGTTGCGTTGTTTGTAAACAATGGTCTTGGACATGATTATGATTTCTTTGGTCGTCCTCATAATTGTCAGTACCATTGGAGTAAGTAAGTGAAAGCTTGGGTGAAAATACTTCGTATGGATTATTGTTAATTGATTTTTTTGTGAGTTTTTTATCCATATTTATTATAATTATGATAAGATTATTTATAAATATAAATATATAAATATATATTATTATTACTATTATTATTATTATTTTATTAAATATTAATTAGTAAAGATGAAAAAAAAATTTTTTTGAAAAAAAAGTTAATTAAGATATTAGTGGATGAAAAAAAGTATGAAAAAGATATGTAATGAGGTTTTTTTTTTAATCAATACTGAGTTTATAAAAAAAGTCTGCTGAGTTTTATTTTATACTCTTTTTTTTTTTTTTTTTTTTCAAATAATTAATTTTCGGGCAAAGTTGATCTGATATTGACGCGGAAAGTTTAACGGAAAATTTTTTGTTTCCGTTTAACCTATCAATTCTATTAATAGTTATTTATTTGAATAAATAATTGCGGGATTTTTTATTAATTTTACTTTGAAAATACTTCATGGTGATTTTTAGGATAAGAAAAAAATTTTTTTTTTTGAGAGAAGAAAATCGAGTTTTTGAATTAGCATGTATCTTTTCAAATCACTGATCGATAAAAGATCTGCAAACATTATCAAAACATTCATTCACACTTATTTCTAAAAAAAAATCCCACACACAAATAATTTCCAAATATAACCAATAACAAATATTTACAAAACAATACAAGTTTGTTCTGAAAGTTGAAACAGTTTTTTTAATGTAACGTAAAAGTCTGATCAACATTCAGTTGTCGTCATAATTAAAAATAATCCCACCAATCAAATCCCAACTAGAATCTAGTCTTGGATATTCCATGTCATTTCATTTATACATTCAAATTATAAAGTTACTGTTATCTTTATAATAATTGTTATTTAAACAATCAATAAAAATTGTTGTAAGATGGGAAATTTGTTGATGGGATTGATTGGGCCAGGCGCATTTTATTATTATATAATTGATGTTTCAAATTCTAATTGTGTAACTAACAAAAAAAATTATTAGTAATAGTAATTTAATATTAACTTTTTTACTAATACCATATTTAACCACAATGGTCATTTATCATTGGCTTGGCAATCTCGCCAACGTGGGACGTCATGCATAATTCATGGGTTTGTTGTATTGATCATAATAAATCATTGCTTCACATTCGTAGGTATAGACAATTGGACAAATTTTATTCAATGTGCTTATATATTGCTGAGAATTTGCAATTCGGAAGAATCCATTTTATCAAATTTTCTGATTGAAAATAAAGAAATCGAACATTTTATCAACAGGATAATTTAATTTATAATCATCATCATTATCGTTACTAATAATGGAATTATTGTTACTAATAACGGAATTATTATATTACTATTTATAGAATTTCTAAAAAGTGTTAGTGTTATATAGTTCTAGAGTCGATTGGCATGTTGTTGTTGGTGGCTGTAGAGAATTCTTGTTCAAAATTTGGTGATGAAGCACCTAATATTATAAAACGAGTAATAGTAATATATAAGAAATGTAAAATTAAAAAAACCATTTTAAAGGAAAATATTCCAAAAAACCATCAAGGGAAAAAATAAATGTTGAATATTAAAATTAAAGAGACAAAAAATGTGATAAACAACGATTATCCTTTGCCTTTCATTTCTTTCTTTAAATTATTATTGATTATTTAAATATGATTAATATGATTAATTTATTGTAACATAATAATAATGATGAAATTTAATCGGATTAGGATTTGTTATTTATTACTATAACATATGTTTTTATTTTATACAATCAACAAATTTACAAGCAAAAATGAAATGAAAATGAAAATAAAAAATAAATATTGTGATAATTAATTAATTAATTAATTAATTTGTAGATTTTTGCACCAGTATTAACTTCTGGTTGAATTGGTTTCATTGGAGGCATGTTGAAGCACTTCAAATTCATCTGCCCTAACAACCTATTGGTATAAAAAATTAACATTTGTTGTGAAATATATATAAATAAATAATTATGTAAATAGATAAATACTTTTAATTTTGAAGGGGCTTTCGATGCATCTGCAGCTTTAGTATTGTCATGACCTTCTTCATATATATCATGCTCATCGTCGAATTCATCATCCACAGTCTTACCCCAATTATGTTGTCCTGCTCCATCCTATTATTAAATATCAATTTATTAATTGTGGATTTACATAAATATATATCTATACTTATTCAACAGAAACGTTACCTTTTTTACCATACCACGAGGATCCGTAAATCCATTTCTTTAAAACATGATTCAGAGAATTTAATTTTTAACAAAACAAAATAGTATAGTAATAATAGTATGATAATATTATATTATTATTTGTTACCTTTGAGGATGGCGGTCATGTTTAACAACGCTAGGTGTAGTTTGTTTTGTACGAGTCATTTTTATGAATATGATTATTTATATATAAAATATTTTAACAGAGATATAGTTATTTTGTATTGATTATTTAATGAAATATTTTTTTGATGGAAAATATGAAAAATTTTTTTACTTTGGTGGGAAAATAATTTCTATTTATACCACTGTAAAAGATCTACAATATAGTCATGATTATGATGTAAAAAAACAATGCGTCAGATGTTTATTTATGGCGTGTTTGCAAATAAAACGATCAAATGATGTCACACTATATTTTTAATATAATTTTGGTCCTCAAAAGAAAAGTAAACCCAATAATAATAAATTGGCTTAATAAAGTACCCTTGCATTAAAGCATCTTTTGGATAAGCTGACTTTACATTTTTCAGCTACTAACTAAGCCTTGCAAGCATCCTTTCCGGGGTAGTAGGTTTTAAGTTTGTTTTGAGAAATATACTTGCAAAGATATTTTTCCTACTTTCTAAACGATACATGGGGTTATTTATCCCTATATAAAAATATAAAAATATAACGTGTCCAAAAATTACAGCAATATTAGAAGCATTTTAAAAAAGAACAAAACGAGAAAATAGCTCCTTGTGTACTAATACTCGAGCACTTGAAAATTGTTTAAGGAAAGAGAAAGTCACTTATCAAGCTTACTGAGGAAAAAATAAAAATAATGAAAAAAAACTTGATAACAAATGTAAAACTTTGGAAAAAGAACAATATCTAATGATGGCGGGAGTTAAGGAATCTAACGATTACAGTTGTATTATTTGATATGTTATATGAACTATATCTACCAAACAATAAAACAACGTATGATGCTTTATCACACTTATATTAAAGCACGGTGATGTGCTTTTAATAAAATAGGCGTATTGGAGTTGAATAGCCCAATATTTGATGCATCTTCTTTTCAGATTAAAAAATCGGTCTTGCAAGTCTCGGTGAAATCGTCTCCATCGTAGAAGTTATCCATATTCATAGCATTTGTTACAGAGATAATCGATTAAAAGTGATTAGCAAAATCGTAATGTTTTTCAAGTATCAAGTATAGAACAAAAAAAAAAAACTTGCCGATCAATTCAAAAATTCTATTTCTTTTTTATTGTTTGATCTCCTAGTCTTCGCTTAGCTGATTTTCCTTGACTCGGTTAGCTCAATCTCCTGTATCCAACAAGGATATCTTTGTTCATCTTTAAATAGTCAAAATCGAAGGACATATATTTACGAGGGGTCCCTACTCATCACTATATAAATCTGACATGTCAAATTGGTTTTAAAAAAAGAGAAAGTGATCAATTAATCGACCGATACTCACGTCAAGTTGAGAACTTTTCAGGGCAAATTTGTCAACAACCTACATAATTGCATTTGGTTCGATCTTATGAGAAGTGATCGACGAATTCGTTGTCACCACATCTACATGTAGCGATCCCAGTCAAAGCAAAGGTGCCAGAGACTGTTTTGATAAAGGAAAACAGATGTCATTTATTATTATCATTATTTATTGAAAGGGTGGGGGTTTTTTTTTGAAAAGATTGAAAAAAAAACATCAATCAACTTTATTTGCATCAAAAAAAAAAAAAAAAACTTGACTTGTATATACAACAAAATATTACGCTTTTATGGAGAAAATGTTGAAATGTTTGAATGTCATTCGACTTTTTAAAACAAATAAATAAACTAGATTTAATATCAAAACACTGAAGGCTTTTCTTTGTAACATTGGGTTATATTTAGTCCTGTGATGGTGTGATGGTAAACTTTTTACAACTACGTTTGAATTTGGTGTGTCCTGAAATCATTATTTTATTCTGGTTGGTAATCTTTTAGATACTCTCAAGGTTTCCGGAAACCTTAATCCAAATGAGAACATTGATTCTATCAAAAACCATGCAAATTGTACATTTCCTACCAGTTCATCTTCATAAGAACATAATTACTTGGTTCCTTTGTAATTCATCTTGAATAACGAATAGATGGACCTTTTGAGGACTAAGATAATAGATCTTATTTACCTCATCAGGAAAAATTTCCAACGCAATATTACACTAATAAGTTATATATAACAATAATGGATGATTTTTTCATTTCGTTTTAATTCTTCACAAATAAATATCTGAGCAAACATCGTGCAGTCAAACCTCGTTTCAACGAATTATTATTATTATTATAATTAAATTCGTAATAACGAATTTTAAATGCAACTTTCTCGTCCATGTATGAGGTTTGACTATAATATCCATATATATTGTTAAAATGTGAAATCTCCATTTTCGGAATTTTTTAATCTGCCGTTAATATTAAATTTATTGATGCTATTTAAACATGTAAAAGTTCAAATTTTAAAGCAAAAAAATTTTTTTGTTCCAAATAAATTCAATCGTGTAACAAATTTTTGGAAATTTAGAAATTCCGTTAGACAGGTATTATTAATATGAACAAAAAAATTGTTTAGATGTCGCACCCAAAGGGATTGACTATGCCTTAAACACTAAGTGTGTTGATAGAAGGGTTGAACCCCAATTCCGTCCTTATCGAGGGGATTGCCAACTATCTCTCCTTTCTTATCAACACATTTATAATTGTGATGATTTTGGAATTTATATTCATCCTGAACCCTATTGTTACATATTATGGGATCTGAATAGACTGTATAATTTTTATTTAAATTTTTTGTGTAAATTTTTTTCCCTTGGTTTTAATTAATTATTATATACAACTAATAGGTTTGCTATAAGACGTTAATAAGACGTTAGAAGAATAATCGCATTTATATATATAATTGAATATATAAATAAATGTATTTGCAAAAAGAATTATATACAAAGAGGTATAAAGAAATTTTTTCTGTGGTGCTTGGAAGAATTGCTGTGCCACTGTGCCATTCAACAAAGTTTGGTCATATCGTGGATTAGGCTATTTTGGTCTTTACCTTTAGGTATAAGTCCAAAATATTGAATTTTGCAGGTAATTGACCCAAAAGGGTGTGGTTATCTCGCAATATATTCAAAGTTTTTTTGTTTACCCTTTTTAAAACATTCTTTATACTTGCACTACAACAAGAATTATATTGATAAAAATGTTGGTTGGTATATATTTTTTTTTTTTTTTTTGACAAAATTTTTTAATAATAAATAACTTATTTTTTTGTATTATTATATTAGAAGATATGGATAAATGGTCTGCACAAACAACTAAACATCAATATTATAAATATATGTTATATATGTTAGGAGGTAAAAATGGGTTGACTTTATTTTTAATGTTTGTTTATTCCTTAATTTAATGTTTCTTGTAAAATCCACTAATCATTGTTATTTTCCTATTATATTCAGTTATCATACTTACATGATCATCTAAATTTAATCCATCATTCAAACTCATTATATTATCAATACCTGTTTCACAATACATTTATTTTTATCATCTCCAATCTTCTTAATGTTCGTGATTTTTGTTCGTTTATTATTTTTTTAGAAATCACAAGATGGATGATTTTGATGACTTTTTCCATGATTTTAGAATGATAGATATTAGTTTCTCCATTTCAATCTTAAAATTTTTCAAAGGATTCATTTATTACCTATTTAATTAAATGGTAAATCTTTTCATTAATTAATTAAGTTTATTAATACATTAATGATATTTTCTTTAAAACATCATATTATTATTTTTTTCTTTGAATAAACCTAAATATTTATTAATTATACCTTTTCATTAATTGTTTCACCATTTTAATATTATCTCCATTAAATATTTCATTGTTTTTTAAATTAATATATTCATATTCATAAATTATTTCGTTATCTTTAAATATATCTTCTAATATCATCTATTACCACTTTTTTCATTTTTTTTTTCATTTACAACCTTTTAGATTTTCTAGATTCATCTTTTACTACTGCTTTTTTTCTCTATATTCATCATATTCATTTACTAGAACCTTTGTTTTTCTTTTTTGAAATATATACATTGCTTTTTTCAAAATCCATCAAATCTTTTTTTGATTTTGTGTGAACTCCCTATTATTATTATTATACATTAATATTATTAATCATTATTATTTATATTACATTTTTGTATTTACCTCAACTACCCAAATTTTGTCTTTATTAACAATCATCATAATTTTCCATAATAAATCTATTAAAATATAGTTTCATTTAAATCTGTTGACAATTCTACAATTCTACACAGTTCATTTTCTATATAATGAACCATTTGGCTTACGAAAAAATGCCAGTTGTAAAGAGAATCTGTTATAAACAATAATGATTTATATATGGACATATAAAGCGGGCTTAAATTTTCAGCCCATTATAACACAAGATCCATTTCAGTGAGAGTGAACTGTAATATTTTTTTGAATTATATGTTTTGAGGATTTGATTTTTTATATGATTCCAACACCTTCCCCCAAAGAATAAGAAATTGATTTTTATGAAAGTATAACATTAAAATTATTGCTGATTTTTTCATTTCTTTTAACAAATTAATATAATGGGTAATATTGATAATAAAATAAAATGATTTAGAAATTAGAAGATTAATAACCGTTATCATTATCATCACTATATAATAGACTGTTTATTCAATTCAGACTCTCCAAAATTAAAATATTCTTCAACATGTTGAGATTGCTTTTAACATAACTGTCTACCATAATCATCATCATCATATTCTTCATCTTTATCACCTAAAAATAATTTTATAATATAAAATATGTGTATATATTATTTCAATGAATTTCACTTTTAGAAGAACAAGAAGTTGAAGTATTTGAACTCTTCATTGTTCAATGTCATTATTAAATCATACATACTATTTAAATATTTAATATTTTTGTTGGATGAGGAATGGATGACGGAAACAAAATATTACATTAATATAGTATAAATATATAAAGATCATTTATATATATACCTGTAGTTGGTCTCATTTGGAATTGAAGTTGACTGCAAATCTTTAATAGTGATCAATAAGCCTTATAATATTAATAATTTTTTGCTTTTTTTCTTTGCAATCATCGTCCATACATAACTATTAAATATATTATTGTCCTAACACATACTAAACATACACAACATATGCAAATGATATATTCATCATTTTTTAAAAATGTTATCAACAGCAATGGATTTAATTACTTTGAAATTTTCTACAAATGCTAATTTATAATCAATTTTCTCATGATTAACTTTGAATTTAATAGGAATATCGGAATTGAAGAGTGCCTAAATCTAAAAGGATATCATCCTTGAAATCGTTTGCATTTATTATATATTGTTTAAAGATCTTTAAGGTAATCTGCATCAATGAATAAAAAACTTTTTTCATGATTTTTTTTCTTTATAAAATGCAAATAAATTCTTTACTGCCCAAATATTGAATTTCTGTTTTATAAATCTTTTATTGCGAACTTGCTTAAACATCCAAGTGCTAAAGCTGAGATATTAAGCTCTTTATTATGTCATCTAAAGTTGAATAATTAATAATCTATATATTTTTTTTCAAAAACACGTTGAATATAGCCATTATTATTTTTGTTGTTTGCTTCCCTTTTCTCTCAGTAAAAAATGAACATTTGGCCGATACCCTTTTGAATTCCTATTTCTTATGATCCAACCTTACTACTATCCATCAATAATTTTTTTAGGCCCTCCTTTCTTTCGGATCCAAGTTTTGTTTAATTGCCCATCTTCTTTACTCACGCCTTACTGGTTTCTCCAGTTTTATCAAAAAAGAACTGTAAGTTTGTAGTTTATATAGTTGATGATTTGATAGGATAATTAAATTGATGTTCATCTTCTGTAATTTTTGGTTTGGGTGCCAGTGGTAACTTTTCTTTCCTAAAAGGAATCAGGTTTCAATAAATTTTATTTCCAGAATTTAGTATCTTTGATTCATATCAAAAAAAAAGTTCACTTACAAATTATTAAATATGCGACTAGCTTTATTATCCAAATCACTTTCATCATTTGATACGAAATTACAATCTAAGCCCATATAAATTAATGATGCCATCTGTAAATAATTTGGCTATTCTGTAATATGACAACTTTTCAATTATGCAATTGTCAGAAAATCTGTAATATGTAAATGTATCTGTAATTCTATAATTCTGTAATTCTGTAATATGTAAATGTATCTGTAATTCTTGTAATTCTGTAATTCTGTAAAATATGTTATGTAATTGGAAATTATAAATCAAATCAATTTTTTGCAGTTTACACAAATGAAATCATAAACTTTATTCATAAACTTTTTAAATTTAAAAAATTATAAAAAATATATATTATCATACATTGTAATAATCTTCAAAACCCATTAATTAATGAGCTACTTCTATGGGATCATAATCATCGCCTCCAGTCTCCTCATCAAAAAATCCACATCTAATTCTTCTATTATATTACATTTCATTTAACATCTTCTCCACATTCATTGCATTCATTTGCTAAATGAGAACGTAAGATTCCAGGTTTTGCAAATGCCCCATTTTTTATGACAACTTATACACTCACCTTCATATATACCATTTCCTTTTTCTTGACCTTGAATAAATTGCTTCCATACACCTGTAAATTGTCTGCCACGATTAATAGAATTGCTTGGTTCTTTTCTTGGCCTTTTGTTCATTATAAAAAATTTTGTTAAAAGTTTATTTATTATTTTATATATATATATATATATATATAAGATTACAGAATTACAGATACATTTACATATTACAGAGAATTACAGATTTTGGCACTTGGTTGCAAATAGTATGACAATTCGGTTTCTAGATACAACTTCTGTAAATCTGATTTACAGACGGCATCATTAATATAAATAAATTGATGGAAATCAAAAGTTCAGTTTATTGCACACCTCGTTTCTTGATTGAGACTCTATCCGCTTTTTTTAATTCATCCAACTCGAAGACAATTGCTTCACTTCCACTCTTGTCATTCTTGTTTTCACTACTATCGATATGTTCAGGAAAGTGATTGGAAGAGTCATTTAAGGATCCAGTGATCTTCTTTTCGCCTAATCAAAAAATCAATAATTAAGTTTCAAAGATAACTGGAATACACTGGTATTGCTCACCCTCTGATTTCTCTCTGTAATCTGAATCTATATTTGATTCTGATGGGAGTTTACTAGTTTCTTTTCCTAAGCATCACTCCAGAAGAAGGATGATCTCCAAGTCATAAAAAATATATTTATGGTTAGAAAAGAATAGCTGTATAACCGGGTGTAACTTAAGGACCTACCAATTTATTTCTTTCACTCCCAGACTCAACATTAACAGTACAAGCAACGATCCCAATCCTTAGAGAGTTTCCTGACAATGAGTTTCCCAATAATGTTGAGTTGTAGATATGAATTGAAGATCCACCACTTATTTTGCTCAATTTAAGTTTTTTCTTTAAATTTAACAATATCTTTAACTAGTACCCAATTTCCCACCCCACCAGGTCAGCGAATAGCTAGATCAGCTATTGGCTTTGAACATCAGACAAACGATTTGGTTACCAGACGGGTCACCTGTGCCCTAGTAGGACCAGTGTTGGGTCAGCGAGTGACTTTTGAACATCAGGTAAGCACTTGACCTTGAACATCAGATAACCGAGTGGGTTACCAACTGGGTCGCCTGTGCTCCAAAACTGGTTTTGTGACTCAGCGAGTATATATGTATATATTGGCCTTGAATGACAAAGAACCGAGCGGATCCTGGGTCCCTGACACACCACTATTTTTCACTTGCATTTCTGACTAAAATTTTTTACTTATCTCTATATCTTTTAAGAAGCACTTCTGCTTTTTCCTTTCTATTTCCTTGCTCACCACTAACAATAATATTGAGGCATCTAATGTATTGATTTACCTTCTTTTTGAATGGTTCAAGGTCGCATACTTTTAAAAACTCTATAATGTCCCATTTTGAAGGCTTTTGTTCAAAATAATCAAAACATTTAATCTTTTTTCTAGACATTCTATTTTTGAAAGAAATTCCAGCCATTGGATTGGCAAGGATTTATGAGTGTTGTTTGCGAAACATTATGGAAGTGTGGCAAGAACTTACTTTTTGTCTACTGCCTATTATTATAAATAAAATTTACGAATTGTATTTATTAATATTAATAATATGAACCCAAGGAATTTAGCATAATCTGAACGTGAGGACTTTACGTGATACTTGTGCTTATGAAAAAAAAAATTTTTTTTCAAAACAAAATTCTGATTATAGCAATTGAAATAAATTCTTTTGAAGATATATTTTAAGAATCCACCGGGATCCACACAACTTTATACACTAGATTTTTTACATATAGGGGAACTATTGGTCTAAAAACCCGTTTATTTATTTATTTTGTTTGATTCTATAATTACAAGTTAGTAATTGTAAACACTAGACCACTAGCTAATACTCTACCATGTTTGCATTTAAGAGCTTGCAAAATAAATATCCAAAAAAAATGATGGATGCTAAACAAACGATTTCTGGAATTCATAAATATTTGTACTTGCTTAGTATTAAACAATATTAATATCATAAAAAAGGAAAATCCTGAGAGTAAATAACAGTGAATATATTGTAAAATAGATAGAAAGACAAGGATACCTTCATAATAATAACAATATTTGCCCATTTGTGAAAGATGAATTTAAAAGATATTACTTGTCCCAAGTCAACACAAAATGTAATTGAATAATTTTATACTAAATGAAAGCGTGTTAGATGACACAATTAACACTTATGTTTTCTTAATCTTCACCATTTTAATAACTAAAATAACTAGGAGACATAACAGTTTGGTTTTGTCATTCAATATTACTTATTTATGCAAAAAGAAAATTATTTGATAAAATACTCTTGTCATCTTGCTCTTTGCAAATAGCCCTGGCTTGAAGAAAAAAGACAGATCGGACAATTCCATGAACTATAACATGTTTGCAAAATGCATTTGTATCATAATTTATGTTATCTTTTATTTCAATTCTCAATTATTATAATTTCTCCCTTTACCCACATACAGTATGTTAAGAAAAAAACGGCAGTAACAAAAAATTGCATATCTCAACAATTACATACGTAACATAATTAGATAAATTTAGATTTATCAAACTATTTTGTTAAATAAAAAAAATAAACATGGAATGCTATTGTCAATTTTCTGTAAAGCTAATTTGTATCTTTTTTTTTAAAATTTGCTAAATTTTTGTCTGAAATTTTGACATGCTAAAATTTTAACATGAAATTTTTTAAATAATAGTTCTGACACAAAAATATACATAATAATCATACAAAACATTATATCAGTTTGTAACGAAAGTTCTGGAGATTATGTGTATAAAATTTCATACAGATTTCTAGAATTTTGTCAATACGTAAATTTCTTTAATAATGGCTCTTCAAAAAATTTTATATGTTATAATCCAAGATCCTCCGATTTTCTGGTATAATTTTTATTATATAATTTTGCTACTTTTTTTTCATGTTTTACAAACCGCTTTTTTTTCTTAACACACGTATTTATTTATTTATTTATTTATTGATTGGCAATTGACTTATTTAATATCTTAGATCTCATTTTCTAATGTTCTCTTATTTGTATTACGAGAAAATAATAAAACAAACAAAATCTCAGGTCACCTAATATAGAAATAATTCGAAACACAAGATATAATTATCAATATTTATCATCTTACAATCATCTACTGATGTTATCGTTCCCTGTAGGTACATGATGATGATTATCTTTTCGTTTGTTTGCGCGTTAATTTCTTTATATAAAGATGTAAATATTCATTAGAATTAAAAAAAACTTTTTTAACAAAGAAATTTAAAAATTAATCAACTTGATTTTTTTTTTTTTTTGAAAATGTTTAAAAGTTTTATTAGATCTCCAAGTCCGATTCGTGTACCATTATTACACAGCAATCGTAGAATTTCTTCCAATTCAACAATAACTTCACTATCATCAAAATTATCAAAAACAACAAATAACAATAAGATAAACAGTCGTTGTTTGCATCAAAATGTAAAAAATACTAATACTACATACGCAAGTCGAATTTACAAAAATACCACATCATCAAATTCAATCTTTAACACTACACCAATAGCTCTCTCTTCGTCGAAAAATTTGAATTCTTCAATTCGTCATCCTCTATCCACCACCACAAAAATTTCATATCATTTTTACAGTACAACCACAGTAAATAATAAGCAATTAAATGAAAATAAAAGTGCTGCAAAAGATGTTAGTGAAGAAATTTTCGCATCAGTTCCTAAAATTGATGTTAAAAAAGTACTTGTAGTAGGATCTGGAGGTCTGTCAATTGGTCAAGCTGGTGAATTTGATTATTCTGGTAATTTATCATTATCATTATCATTTATTATTATTGCTGTTAATGATATTGTTGTAGCATGGAATTAATTAAATCTTTTTATAATAATAATGTATAGGATCACAGGCTATTAAAGCTTTACGTGAATCCAATGTACACACAGTTCTTGTAAACCCCAATATTGCTACAATTCAAACATCACATGCTTTAGCAGATACTGTTTATTTCTTGCCTGTCACTGTTGAATACTTAACCTATATTATTGAACGTGAAAGACCTGATGGCATATTACTTACTTTTGGTGGCCAGACTGGTCTTAATGTTGG